AAGCATTCAGAGCTTCAGATCAATTAAACTATCACATTTTCTATAAGTTTGGTTGCACAAACACAAATGTTTTCCTCTTCTTGCAAATCTACAATGAAATGATATAAATATTTCGAGTTTTAACCTTGAAACCTCGTCTCATTCAGTAAATGAAGGCAGATTTTCAGATGAAAGGGATGAAAGAACAGATCTTACCTGTCCACAGGTGGATGATGCTCTCAGGTGTGTGAGACGAGTGTGAAGATTATTGCGCGTCTCCAGGGTTGTGTATCCGCGGGGGGCGGGGCTTAAACACAAACACGCCTCATGATTCTCCTGAAAGACTTCCTTATGGATGAAGCTTTTATGGCATGAGCTGGAAGTCAGCTGATGATACAGTCATGGAAAAGTTACTTTTATATTGCGTGTTGAGTAGACCTTTGTGTGGTGTGAAGTGCAAGGAAAGGTAGGCCACGGGCAGCAAACACAAAAACTTGTCTTATCAGCTCATCTGTGTACTTTACCAGATCAAATCTACACAGCAAAATCCCCAGTGTTAAATTAACACTTAAAAGTGTGAATTATATAAACTCTGAGCAAAATGTTAAATGAACATTGAAGCAGGGTTAAAGTTAATGAGATAATTAAGTGAACAATTGAGTGATGATTGAGCATTATTGAAGACACCTGAGAATCTCTGAAGCAGAAAACCAGAATATTTTAAGTCACCATTATGGAGATCAGTGTTTGCTTTAGTTGGGCTCTTGACCCTTAATACATTAGTTTTAGATTTTGTTTGACTGCTGTACATGATTTATAACAGCCAGTTGAACAAATAGAAAAAGTTGTTTGAAGGTGATGGTTGTGTTTTAACATAATCATTTGACCTCAATCACTGAACTCAAATAGAGCCTAATTTCTGAGTTAGGTTTACTTTATTCATTATAGCAGCAGAGACCTTGCACAGCATATTATTTTCAACATTTACAATGTATTCAAAACAATTTCTTAAAAGTTTATCATATTTTTAATTTTTAAGACACAGACATCAATAATTAGCATGTGAGTCTCAACAATGGTGACAATAATAAAGAATGTTGCATTGCATTCTGTGTGACTGGGACACCAATCAAAACTCATTCATTGCTCCCATCATGCATTGCAGCATGAATAAATAATGAGCTTATGTTCAGAGGTGATCTGTTTGTCACCATTGTTGAGATTCATACGTTAATTCTTGATGTCTGTGTGAGCCTACATAAAAGGTTTTTTGGGATTTTTTTTGGGGGGGGGGATTTCATTGAAAAGGCTAAAAATGTTATGTTCTAAAACTACCATGAGGTTAAAATCAATAAGGTAAATTTAACTCAGAAGTTATGCTCTTTATGAGTTCAGCGATTCAGGTCAATTAATGATTAAAATACAACCATCACCATCAGATCACCACTTCTATTTGTTTATCTGGCTGTTATAAGTCATGTACAGCAGCCAAACAAAATCTAAAGTTAATGATTTAAGGGTCAAGAGTCCAACTAAAGCAAACACTGATCTCCATAATGGTGACTTAAAAATTATGGTTTTTCTCCTTCAGAGATTCTCAGGTGTCTTCAATAATGCTCAATCATCACTCAATTATTTATTTAATAATCTCATTAACTTTAACACTGCTTCAGTGTTCATTTATCACTCTGCTCAGAGTTGATATAATTCACACTAGAGTTGTGACGTTCGCGAACGAACCGATTCTTTTGAACGGCTCATAAACATGAACGATGGGAGCCGAGTCGCGGCAGGAGGGGAGCCGTTCTTTCTGTCGTTCTTTTTTTCCTATGCGTGTTTTACACAGATGCACATAAATTACCTCCTCAGTTACAGGGGAAGGGGCGCCCAGCGCAGGGGTGATAGTTGTGCACGCGCGTGCATCTTTTACGTTATCTTTTATACCCTACGTGCCTATGTCATTGGGTAGGAGCGGAGCCAAAACTTGTGCACGCCGCCATCACATGGTTACTCCAGTTTTTTTTTTTTTTTTTTAAAAAGCCATAAAGTAAGGAACTGCTTGTATTTATTTACATTGCATTTTGTGTTCATGTTAATGTTATTGTATCTACAGTATATATTTACTTTAAATATTTTTTGTTTTTATCAAAATGTTTTTGTGGTATTGTATGAAAAACATAAGTCAACAGCTTTACACATACACTCACTTTGTACTAAAGGTAAATCCAAAATAGTGATGTCACGTTTTAAGCAGAGGGATGTTGTGCAACCCTTTGAAATATAGCCCACACATGAGGTAATAATCAATATTTCAGAATAATTCAAACTCAGATATTGATGTGTGATATCTGAGTTTGAATTATTTGACTACAAATCTCACCTCATCATTCCTCCCAGTGATTATACTAAATATTTAAAAAGAGCCAAAAGAGCCATTCTTTTGAACGGCTCTTTGAAAGGAACGGATCGCCAAGATCCGGATCCCCTCAAAGAGCCATAAATCCCATCACTAATTCACACTCTCAGTCTTAATGTAAAACTGGGGATTTTGCTGTGTATCTTTCTATCTATCTAAGTTCTTCAAATTGTTCTCTTTTTTTTCTTTTTTGCCACAATCCAAAGGCAGAGGAAGTTAACTCATGGTGGTTTACCATGATGCGTGTTCCAGCTCAATGTCTCATAATTTGTCATATGGTCACTAGGAGAACGGTAAGACAGACATTAATATTTCTTTCTTATTTTTTGTGTTTTGTCCTATTTCTTTATTAGTTTTGATGATTTACCATAGGCAATAGAATAAAAGAACAGTGGATACAAATAGTACTAGTAATATCTGTACAAAAATATGCGAAAGAAGAAAGAAAACTCTAGTTCCAGCTGAGGTCAATGATTTGGTCATATAGTTTTTAAAGCATATCTGGGGCCAGAGGATCAGATATTTTCCTTCTTGTTTCAACTTTTAGTATTTTTGCCCCATTATCCGTTGTTGATAACATACAATCTTTCAAACTATGTCTATTGACTACATTGGGGTAAGCTGAGCCAGGTTTTACTTAAGAAGAAACGAGACTGTATTTTAGAATATCTCCTGTCAGATGGAATGATGAAAGCATCTACAACACTGTAAAAGCTGTATTAAAAAGCATTGTTAAATTCTTTCTGATTTGATTAGCTTGACTAATAGATTGTCAAAGTTTTGAATATAGAACAATTCATATTTTTGGGATGGATTTCTATAGTCTATGATTAAAGGTCTGTGTCGAAATAAGACAACAAAATCTATGCATAAAAATGTTAAAATCTTTATTTTTACACAAAAATCTAAAATGTCAGTCTTTAAAGAAGCGCCTACAAATTATATTGTATGTAGTTTACAGTTTTTCTCAATCGCATTTGTGCATTTTCTAAAACTAAACATTCTCTAAACTGTAAATTCAATTGTCACAACTGTTTGCTGTTTTTACTAAAAATGTAGTAACTTACCCAACACATTTCATTCAGACTTCGAAACCTATTTTGTCATTAAGTTGAATTAAGAATGAACTGCATTTAGTTACTGTGCAAATTGTAGACAATTGTTCTTACTCTTTTCCACACATCTGTCAAGGCGCATGATATTTTCCAAAATCAGTAATAAATTCAAATGTTATTGTTATTGTATTTCTGAGAATTTGAGAATTGAGCCAAAGCGATTGAGAAAAACTGTAATAGATACAGGTGGGTGTCCAAACTTGTCTAGACGCCCATATGCTGATCTCACAGGGGACTTCTATCCACTGGAGACGGTTCAAATTATAAACAATTACAAAATACCAAAAAAATAATTTTGAAAATCTCTTGTACATTTGTTGTAGGTGTTGTTATATGGTAATGTCAGACAGAATGACCACTCTTCTGATCTTTCTGCTCATGATTCACGGTGAGTCACTCTGCAGACACGCTCAGTACATTCGTTTTGCACTCATTGATGTATTGCATGTTCCATATTTCAAGCATTTATCAAGGATAAAATACCTATCAAATTATACAACCCATTTTTATGATATTGATCTACTATGCTTATGATGAATTCTGTGTTTCAGGGGTTTCTAGTGAAGATCGGAGTGTGAGTTACAGTCCTCCACACATCTGTGCACTAAAGGACTCAACAGTGATAATGAGATGCACTTATAAATACCCTATTAGTTATCAGATCAAGAAAGTGTTCTGGACAAAAGGCCCTTTAATAATGAGTGTCGAGGCTCCAGATCTGTCTAATGACCCTGAATACCGTCAGAGGCTTCAGTATCTGGGAGATGAACAGCAGAACTGCACCGTCAGACTGAGCCATGTGACACTGAAGGATTCACAAATTTACTACTGCAGATTCATCACTGATCGATACAAATGGACTGGTAAACCAGGAGTGACTCTTACTGTCACAGGTGACTTTGAGGTTTATCTCTTCTTCTGTGCATTATGTTGAATAATAATCAGTGTGTGACAGCAGCACTAGATATAATGTGTGTGTTGTGTTCAGATCTTCAGGTGGAGTCTCCTGAGAGAGTGACAGAGGGAGATTCAGTCAGTCTGACATGTAAAAGCAGCTGCGCTCTGACTGACAGAGCAACATTCATCTGGTACAGAAACTCACTGAAGATATTAACTGAGAGTAAATTCAGGAACACACTCATCCTCAATCCAGTCAGAAGAGAGGATTCAGGCAGATATAGCTGTGCTGTAGACGGACACACACACGTCTCTCCTGATGTTCACCTCAATGTCATGTGTGAGTATTGCATCATTGTTTAATATTTTTTCAAGCATAAAATGTAATAAATAAGGATCCTTAATGTAGATGTTTACTACTTTGTGCTTAGACTCCCCAAAGAATCATTTTACAGTGGTTAGTCCATCAATGAACATGGAGAGAAATACTCTGATAATGTGACTTTAAACATCATGTGTGAGTTAATGTTTCATTAAAGGAATGGATTTACAATCACAAAACATGAATATACCCTTTCTTTTGTTTATATAAGATCCTCCCAGGAGCGTCTCAGTGTCCATCATCAGTCCATCTGGTGTAATATTTGAGGGAGATTCAGTGACTCTGAACTGCATCAGTGACTCAAACCCTCCTGCAGGAATCCACTGGTTTAAAGGAGGAACGTTTGTAGGATCTGGAAGAATCTTCAGCATCTCAAAGATCAGATCTGATGACAGTGGAGAATACAAGTGCAGGTCCTTCAATGAATATGGAGAGAAATACTCTGATACTGTGACTTTAAACGTCATGTGTGAGTTGTTGATGGTTCCGTTTCTATAGTAACCAGAAAATAATAGATTAACATTCGCAAAACATTAATATACCCTTTCTTTTGTCTATTTAAGATCCTCCCAGGAACGTCTCAGTGTCCATCATCAGTCCATCTGGTGTAATAGTGGAGGGAGATTCAGTGACTCTGAAGTGCATCAGTGACTCAAACCCTCCTGCAGGAATCCGCTGGTTTAAAGGAGGAACGATTGTAGGATCTGGAAGAATCTTCAGCATCTCAAAGATCAGATCTGATGACAGTGGAGAATACAAGTGCAGGTCCTTCAATAAACCTGGAGAGAAATACTCTGATCCTGTGAATTTAAACGTCATGTGTGAGTTAATAATCATCTGCACATTGTTTAAAATTTCCAAACATATAATTTTGTAATCGTTTTTGTGAATTTTAATTTTTGTCTGTTTTAGATCCTCCCAGGAACGTCTCAGTGTCCATCATTCAGTCTGGTCAGATCTGGGCAGGAGATTCAGTGACTCTGAAGTGCATCAGTGACTCAAACCCTCCTGCTGTGAACTTCAGCTGGTTTAAGGAGAATGAAAGCTCAGCTGTTGGATCTGGACAGAGTTTCAGTGCACTACAGAGTGGACGCTTCTACTGTCAGGCTCACAATCAACATGGATCTCAGAGATCAGACGCTGTAACTGTCACAGGTAAAGGTAGAGCGGCTCGTATACTTACATTGCTCTTTTTAAATGGCGGTAAACTGATCAGTTTATCTTGTCCCAGTGAAATATTGGAGGATATATCACATTGCAATTGTAGCATCAGTTTGTGGAGTTGTAGCTACTGTCATCATTGTGTTACTAACCTGGTAAGAGTCTGTTTTTCCTTTTTTTATTTAGTTATGTAATTTAATATTATATTGTGTTAATATAATGTGTTTTCTTTTCAAGCTGGAAGAAACTACACTCCAAGGTCAGTCTGTTTCAATTCAATATTGGCTCAATGCAACTGATCGCAACTGAATTTCTCATATTTCTTTCTGTTTTTTTTCCCTCTCAGTCCACCACAAACAATTCTGATGGCATAAGCATGAAGTCTGAAAATAAAGAGATTTCATATGTGTATGAGAATGTGGGGGTACGTTTACTTAATTTTCTTTGAGCCTACGCTAATTCAAAACTAGTTTTTGTTTTACCTTTTTCCTGGTTCACATGTTTTCTTCTATCTCTTTTCCATTAAGGCTGTTCATCCTTGCACCAACGCTCCTAAAATGACCTTCCCTCTGTATGAGAATGTAACAATTTATGAGAATTGTACCGTGAGTGTCCAGCTTTTCTCTTTGTCAGTCAATTGAGAAGTCTATTCTCTAGACTAGATATTGGTCTTGTGGTATTAAATATCCAGTTTTCTCTTGACACCACTGCAGACAGTCTTTAAGTGTGCCATAAACATTTCAAAATAGTTGAACTTGGGAAAAAGATTTAATTTGTGTTTTAATTTTTGTCTCAGGCTCACAGGAATATGCCGTAGTGGACGATGGCACACACCAAAACAATCTTCATTTGACTGTGGGTGAAGCCCAAATGTGACAATGGATACAAGTAGAAGTTATCATGAAAATATATTGTTGCTTTATGCATTGTGACTTGTTTGATTATAATTGCTTATAGTTAATACTAATTATTTATTAATTAGCTTGCCTTTAACACACACAAATGCTTCATGTTGCAATTCATGATGTGAGCCACAAATCAAAACGCATCCATAAACATCTTAAGCCTAACTTGATTGTAGAACAATAGCAACAAATGGTCTGACTCTGTTCAATCAAATTATGCTTACAATGCTTTTGGGAAACGCAGCCCAGGTCATAGTTTGTCTTAAAGGGATACTCCACTTTTTTTGAAAATAGGCTAATTTTACAACTCCCCCAGAGTCAAACAGTCGAGTTTTACCGTTTTCGAATCCATTCAGCCGATTTTCTAATATTTAGAAGAATATCAGTAACCAGACAGTTTCTGGTCTCATTGACTACCATAGTAGGAAAAAATATATACTATGGAAGTCAATGAGACCAGAAACTGTTTGGTTACTGATATTCTTGTAAATATTAGAAAATCGGCTGAATGGATTCGAAAACGGTAAAACTCGACTGTTTAACTCTGGGGGAGTTGTAAAATGAGCCTATTTACAAAAAAAAGTGGAGTATCCCTTTAATGAACACAGGGTTGGAATGGCCAGATAAAAACTGATATTGAAAAGTAAAGGGTCAAAAGCCCAACTAAACCAAACACTGATCACCACAATGGTGACATAAAATGAAACATTCCATAAAACATCGCCATCTAAACTTCTTTAAATCTGCATAAGACCGTGTGTAGATGTATGACACAAATAAAGTCAATCTGGTAATAAGAAGTGCAATAATGTGTAATGACTCGAAATCAGTGTCTCTTTTTTTCTGTTCTTGTTTCTCTTTCCTTCATTAATTCTTCTTATTAACATCAGGTGTCACCACTAACGGCCAATCATCACTTAAATAATCACTTAATTATCTAACTAACTTCAACACTGCTTCAATGTTAATTTTTAACACCCTGTAGTTGGACCGAGTGTTCAGGCCAATTTATACTTCTGCGTAGGGTGCGCGCAGTAGGTATGGCGTAGCATACGCACAGACACGTAGCATACCACGTACCCTTCGCCATAGCCTGACGCGCACCTCCTCAAAAATGTAACTACACGTCGCGACGACGCAGACCGCAAGATCTGTGATTGGTCAGCTTGGTAGCATCACATTTCCTCCTACGCATTTCCGCACGTACCATCTCCTCCGACGTCTTCTCTCATTTCTGCCTTTTAGTTTTAGTAATTTCATAAGTAATTTAATAAGCTCCGCTCTCTTTCAGTCGCCATTGCTTGTAGTAACCTAGCTGCGAGGAATCTAAACACAGTGGAACATTCAAACCCTCCGTCGCCAACTAGGGTTTCGGAGCGGTACTGCAGAGCAACCAAGACCTGAACGCAGAAGTATAAATGCTCACGATGGTGTCGCTTCCGTACGTAGCCTACGTCGTACGCTTTGGCATACTCTTGACGAAGAAGTATAAATTGGCCTTTAATTTAACACTGGGGATTTTGCTGTGTACACTGGAACTGACCCATCAAGATCACCCACAGGTGCCTCTCCATCGCTGCCATCAATCTACCAACTGCGGCGGCGGTCTGCTTGGTGGTGCAGAGATCCAGATCTCTGATATCGCATCAGGGGAAAGACCCTTACCCGGATCCAAATACTTCAGCAGATCGGCTTGAGCCTTGTTCACACTACATGATTTTAAAATGTCGGACTGAATGGTGCGATTCACACTACATGACTTGCTCTCAGTGAAATCAGGAGTGTTCAAGTTGTTTAGCTGTTCACACCACACAACACAATGTGATTGATCCACAACAGGAGGTAACTCACTACACGAGTTGACAACGCACTACATAGTGATACAACCACGATCGGATGATAAGAGCAAATCATTTGTGACTCAATGAGAGCTGTTTCAGTACTATGGTACGGTCTAAATCCTGAAAATAATCAAATAAATAACAAGTTGACAACAACTCCGTCACCCAATGATTCTATCTGGTCTAGAAACCACGTTTTGTCACGAAAAAACACGCAATAAATAAATAAATAAATATTGCGCCAATACCCAGCGAAGAAGAGAACACAGCATGTGAATATGGACGTCAGACAGAAACTAGTGCTGCACACTGTTTGCGCGACGATCTGCTCTGAGGAAAATAATGCAAAAAGAAAAAAAGAAAAACTAAGATTTACCTGGTGTCCTCAACCCATGCGTTGCTATGATTGGCTTTACTCATGACATCACTGAGTTTGAGTCGCGCGATGGCTCTGAATATCTAGCAGGCTAGATATATTTATGGGCTCAGCGAGGCGTCTGCGAGCGTTTTCGCTGCGTTTTTGGCTCTTTCATACTAACAGATTGGTTCATCGTCCGCTTATCCCCCGCGATTTACACACGATAACACCCTGACCTGTCAGCGAGCTCAAATCGGGCATAAATCTGGTTTAAAATCCTGTAGTGTGAACTTAGCATTGGTAAGACTGAAGCACGACCATGGAGTGAAGCACCAGCCTAACCTGCTGCCGCATATGGAGCTTTCAAGATCAAAAACGTCTTGTTGATTGGGATGTATCCATGCTCCTGTATCCCCTAGATATGTGCATAATTTGCATGTTGGTAGACACGGGCAGAATACGATTTCTTCCTTGTGCTCGTGATCTCAGTATCATCCTGGTTGCAGTTCCATTAGAATTCCACTGGAGGTGATTGCGGGCGAGAGCAGAATGAATGGGAGTCTATGGGGCTAAACGCATGTGAGTAGAGTAGCGATGCTGTAGAGGGGTTGTTCTTCCACATCAGAAAATAGCCTCCTGACAGCTGCAGCTAAGGTCCCTTTCATAGTTTTGATGCCCTGGTCATCGTCGGTCTCTCTAGACAGAAATCTCTGCAGTACAGTGACAGCAGGAATCAAATCTGCTGCCATAGCATCATAAGAGCTAATTTTTCTCGTTAACTCCTCAAGCGGACCCAGAACAGTAACAATCTTCTCCAGCAGTGCCCACTGGTGAGCCGTGAGATTATCAGGGAGTTCTTTCTCGGACACAGCCCGTTTCTGCTCAATCAGAGACTGGATCATGTAAAATGTACTGTTCCAGCGTGTCTGGACGTCCTGCTGTAGTCGTTTTGCAGGCTGACCGATCTCTAACTGAATGTCTTCGAGGCAGGAGTAGGCTAGAGGAGAATGCTTAAAATGGCCAACTATTTTGCGTCCGATAGCCAATGCATCCGCAACACTTCTCTGTGACAAAATGCCCTCGTTGACCACCAGCTGGAGAGTGTGAGCGGCACAAGGAAGACTGGGGAGTTCAGCATCACTCATGCCCTTAATCATATTTTTAGCGTTGTCTCGTAGCACAACGTGAACAGAGGTTTTCGGAATGCCCCAGGTCTGAAGCATCCCATCGAATGCACCGGCTATGGCTTGGCTGGTGTGCGAGCCCCGGAACGGCTTTGCTTGTAAGGTGGCGTGGCGAAGAGTAAAGTCGTCATCAATCCACTGCGCAGTTAAAGGGTTAGTTCACCCAAAAATGAAAATTAAGTCATTAATTACTCACCCCCATGCTGTTCCAACCCCGTAAGACCTTCGTTCGTCTTCGGAACACAAATAAAGATATTTTTGATTGAATCTGAGAGCTGGATCACTCTTCCATAGGCTTATAAAGTCTTGACGGCCCATAAAGTCTTTAAAGAAAAGGTTTAAATATTCAATGTGCCTACAGCGGCTCAATTATAAGTTTATCAAGCGACGAGACTACTTTTTGTGCGAAAAAAACATAAATAACGACTTTATTCCACTATTCCATTACTTCCTTATGGGCGCATGCGCGAGAACTGAGATGAGGACGTTCTCATTCGACTACTTCTTGTTACCGGCTGCTCACCGCTTAGGAGTTTTACCGCCACCTACCGTATAAGATGATGATCCATATATAAGGCGCTCCGGATTATAAGGAACACTGTCATTTTTTGAGAAGATTAAAGGCTTTTAAGTGCACCTTATAGTGCGGAAAATACGCTAATTGAAAAGCGTATGTACAGCGCGCATCTTCCTCTGCTTGTAAACTGAAAGTTTTGCGCTTCCAGCTATATCAGCATGTCATCTTATACGGTAGGGGGCGGTAAAACTCCTAAGCGGTGAGCAGCCGGTAACAAGAAGTAGACGAATGAGAACGTCCTCGTCTCAGTTCTCGCGCATGCGCCCATAAGGAAGTAATAGAATAGTCGAATAAAGTCGTTATTGATGTTTTTTTCGCACAAAAAGTAGTCTCGTCGCTTGATAAACTTATAATTGAGCCGCTGTAGGCACATGGAATATTTAAACCTTTTCTTTAAAGACTTTATGGGCCGTCAAGAGCCAGTCCCTTAGGCAGTCTATGGAAGAGTGATCCAGCCCTCAGATTCAATCAAAAATATCTTCATTTGTGTTCCGAAGATGAACGAAGGTCTTACGGGGTTGGTACAGCATGGGGGTGAGTAATAAATGACTTAATTTTCATTTTTGGGTGAACTAACCCTTTAAACTTAGTAGAGACATTGGGCAGACACTGCTTGACCAAACATCTGTTGTAAAACTAAAGGCGAAACGTCACACAACAGGCCACTGACGTGCTTTTTCACCTCATGAAACACTTTCGGTAGCATAGCGTCTGTAATGTAATGTCGACTGGGAATTTCGTATCGCGGCTCCAGGATGCCAAGAAGATGTCGAAATCCTGCATTTTCAACAGCCGACAATGGCTGGTCATCAAGTGCAATAAAGTATGCAATTCCCTCTGTTATTTTTTGTGCCCGCGGATTATCTCTGGACATCTTCTCGCGCTTCTGTAAAACCTGTGTTAGTGTTGGCTGCTGCGGAGTAGGTTTAGCTTTCCGAAACTGTGAGTATTCAGCGCTATGATGCGTCTTCAGATGTTTAATTAGATTGCTGGTGTTAAACGATGTACTTTCTTTCCCTCCTCTCGACACCTTTGCTGAAAATAACTTACAGTCTGCCTTGCTGTTGTCATCATCTCTTATCTTAAAATGATCCCAAACTGCTGACATTATACTTTCCTAGTTCATGAGTTCACCTCGACAAGGACTCGCGCCAGTTTCTCCAAAATGTACGTTGTCGCAAAACGTACGTGGTATCGGTGCGTGGTATTGGCGAATTTTTACGAGTAAGAGTATATGAGGACAGTATCGACCCGATCCCCGATGCCAGTATCGGTATCGGGCCATCCCATTATAGGCAGTGCACAACTGTGACCTGACACCTTTTAAGCGCTTCAAAGCATGTATGGTGCCACTATGTCTGCTCTATAAGGCATAATAACTCAAATTAATTTCTCATCTGTAATATCTTGTGGTTTGAATGATGCACTGGAAACGGTGGTTGCAATAACTCAATAACCTTTACTGACAACTGCCAAAGACCATCAGCAATAACACACATACACAGCTGAGCTTCCTGGTAACACTGAGTCACGTGAACTACGAACCAATCACATTACTGCCTTTCACCCCAGTCTATTACATCATCGACTATATAATTAAGAATTGCAAACTTACTTTTGCATTCATGCACAACATTTTGTCAATAGCCTCTATGCACGATATCTTCCGGGTTTGTTTCAGCACGCCCAGTTACATCCGGTGCTGCGTCAGAAGCCGGTTTTGCGTTAGGTGGAGATAGTGTCAAGTTACACTTGCTGTTTAGAAAAACGTCCTGCGGTTAACGTTGTTAACAATACTGTGAGGCAGTTAGCTGTCACACAAGAGTAAAAAAGAGAAGTTAATTAAATTATATATTTGGAGCTACATCAACAACTTTGAGGGTTAGTATTCTCTCATATCGTACGAAATTTGACTAACGAATCAGCGTTTCTAAAATCGTTGTCTCCGTTTCTGAGAAAACGGATTTTATTAAAGTTTTGCCGCAATACACTTGGCCTGCAGAACGCGCTTCTGGAAGTAAAGACGCTGACTGAGATTCTTTCGGACACACGTCGGCAGGGTTCGTGCATAGAGGCTATTAGGCAACATATCCTGCGAACAAGATTACAAAGAACTTGTTTTTCCACCTGCACGAAGAGACGAGTGCCATAAGTAAGTAATAGTTGTCCTTGCTTTAAACTGGGCTTTAAGTAAAAAGATGCAACGCATTGCAGTGCGGGTACAGAAAAATAGATGCACCACATACACACTGCAAACAGAGTAGGCCTATGTGTGAAACAGGCGCTAATGCTAATGTCTGTTAAAACTCTTCCTCTGCTTGATCTGCACTAGTTGATGCGTCATAAGCTCATATATTAATATAAGGTGTTAATCACGTCATTCAGGGTGTGAAAAACGCCTATACTGGTTTGATCCGGATCATTTGTAGTGCTGTCGCTGGTCACGGGTGTTGGTGAAACGGGTAAGAGCGTTATTTTATAACTGTTCTGTTAAATCTCTAAAGTGTGGAGGGATTTATGGGGCTAGTTGTCACAGAGCTGTGTCTCAGTAACTGTATGGTTTAAAATCAATATAGCATACATTTGTTTTCTCTAGCAGTGTTTTATTGGCGAAAAACAAATTGATACAAAATCCTTTTTAATATTATGTAATGAAGATAGATTAAATTGCAGTTACTTGCAAGAAACAACTTCTCTCTTCGAGCACACAAATACGTGTGTCGTTTTATTTTGGTATAAAAAAAACCACAAGCCAACAAAAGGCGCTGGCAAGCGTCGTACGCCACCCATACAGAACATTCAAAGGGACCACGATCTCTGGACAAACGCTAAGAACAAAGTACTGCATTTATCACCGACCATGTATAGAACTACATTTAACACAAAGGGTGAATTATGTAAGTCACAGTCACTACAATATAGACTTATACCGATGACTTATATTAAAGTGGCTTTTACAAATAAACCTGCATATTCACCAGAGACAACAAGCTCCAGAGTATAGAAAACATTAGCAATGCACTGATACAAAAGTCAACTAAAGTACTTTATAACAGTTTCTCTGTATGAAATCAAAGGCCATCGGTCTGGCAGGGTCCTTCTGTCTGTGATGGGCTGTCAATCAAAAGGGGAAGTGAAAGACATTGAACAGTTACAAACTCATGCAGTGCAAAAATTCCTGTTGCTGTCATGTATAAATATGATAAATATGACTGTTGTTGTCATGTTCTTGTATAAATAAAGTAGTATTTGTTGTTATGTTTCATGCTGACATTGAAGCTGAAAATAAGCCACTGTATGTGTGTTGTAGCTGTTGCTATGGTGACATCAGTCAGATTGGCTCCGCCTCTTCCTCTGATCTTTCTGCTCATGATTCACGGTGAGTCTCTGCAACCCTTGCTCAGGAATCTTTATATACGTTTTTATGCACAAGCTGCTGCTAATTTGTTCAGGATTGACTTTTTCAGGGGTTTCTAGTGTTGATTGGGGTGTGATTTACAGTCCTACACACATCTGTGCAGTAAACAACTCAACTGTGATAATGAGATGCACTTATAAATACCCTACTGGATATAAGATCAAGAAAGTGTTCTGGACAAAAACACTGGTAAGAGATAATGTTGAGCCTCCAGATCTGTCTAATGACACTGAATACAGTCAGAGGCTTCAGTATCTGGGAGATGAACAGCAGGACTGCACCGTCAGACTGAGTCATGTGACACTGAAGGATTCACGCATGTACTATTTCAGATTCATCACTGATAAAGAAAAATGGATTGGTGCTCCAGGAGTGTCTCTTACTGTCACAGGTGACTTTGATGAGGTTTATCTCTTCTTCTGTGCATTATGTTGAATAATAATCAGTGTGTGACAGCAGCACTAGATATAATGTGTGTGTTGTGTTCAGATCTTCAGGTGGAGTCTCCTGAGAGAGTGACAGAGGGAGATTCAGTCAGTCTGACATGTAAAAGCAGCTGCGCTCTGACTGACAGAGCAACATTCATCTGGTACAGAAACTCACTGAAGATATTAACTGAGAGTAAATTCAGGAACACACTCATCCTCAATCCAGTCAGAAGAGAGGATTCAGGCAGATATAGCTGTGCTGTAGACGGACACACACACGTCTCTCCTGATGTTCACCTCAATGTCATGTGTGAGTACAGATTCATGAGTTCTTTTTTTAAATTAGGAGATTGAGTTTGAATGAGATGATTTAAGGTTGTTTATTATTTTCCTTTTTAGACCCACCAAAGAGCGTCTCAGTGTCCATCATCAGTCTATCTGGTGTAATAGTGGAGGGAGATTCAGTGACTCTGATCTGCTTCAGTGACTCAAACCCTCCTGCAGGAATCCACTGGTTTAAAGGAGGAACGATTGTAGGATCTAGAAGAATCTTCAGCATCTCAAAGATCAGATCTGATGACAGTGGAGAATACAAGTGCAAGTCCATCAATGAACATGGAGAGAAATACTCTGATAATGTGACTTTAAACGTCATGTGTGAGTTAATAATCATCTGCACATTGTTTAAAATTTCCAAACACATAATTTTGTAATAGTTTTTGTGAATTTTAATTTTTGTCTGTTTTAGATCCTCCCAGGAGCGTCTCAGTGTCCATCATTCAGTCCGGTCAGATCTGGGCAGGAGATTCAGTGACTCTGAAGTGCATCAGTGACTCAAACCCTCCTGCTGTGAACTTCAGCTGGTTTAAGGAGAATGAAAGCTCAGCTGTTGGATCTGGACAGAGTTTCAGTGCACTACAGAGTGGACGCTTCTACTGTCAGGCTCACAATCAACATGGATCTCAGAGATCAGACGCTGTAACTGTCACAGGTAAAGGTAGAGCGGCTCGTATACTTACATTGCTCTTTTTAAATGGCGATAAAAGGAACAATTTATCTTTATCTTTCCTCATGTCCCAGTGAAATATTGGAGGATATATCACATTGCAATCGTAGCATCAGTTTGTGGAGTTGTAGCTACTGGCATCATTGTGTTACTAACCTGGTAAAAGTCTGTTTTTCCTTTTTTATTATTTAGTTATGTAATTTAATATTATATTGTGTTAATATAATGTGTTTTCTTTTCAAGCTGGAAGAAACTGCACTCCAAGGTCAGTCTGTTTCAGTTCAATATTGGCTCAATGCAACTGAATTTCTCATATTTCTTTCTGTTTTTTTTTCCTCTCAGTCCACCACAAACAATTCTGATGGCATAAGCATGAAGTCTGAAAATAAACAGATTTCATATGTGTATGAGAATGTGGGGGTACGTTTACTTAATTTTCTTTGAGCCTACGCTAATTCAAAACTAGTTTTTGTTTTACCTTTTTCCTGGTTCACATGTTTTCTTCTATCTCTCTTCCATTAAGGCTGTTCATCCTCGCACCAACGCTCCTAAAATGACCTTCCCTCTGTATGAGAATGTAACAATTTATGAGAATTGTACCGTGAGTGTCCAGCTTTTCTCTTTGTCAGTCAATTGAGAAGTCTATTCTCTAGACTAGATATTAGTCTTGTGGTATTAAATATCCAGTTTTCTTAAAACTTTTGCCATAAACATTTCAAAATAGTTGATCTTGGTAAAAAGATCTAATTTTTGTTTAAATTTTTGTCTCAGGCTAACAGGAAAATGCCATAGTGGACGATGGCACACACCAAAACATTAGTCTTCATGCGACTGTGGATGATTGACAGGAGTGTCTGATGAGGATTTACTATTTAGAGTATTATGAAAATATTGAAGAAAATGTGACAATGGATACAAGTAGAAGTTATCATGAAAATATATTGTTGCTTTATGCATTGTGACTTGTTTGATTATACTCAAAGCTAATCAATAAATAATTAGTATTAACTATAACACACACAAATGCTTCATGTTGCAGTGCATGATGTGAGCCACCAATCAAAACGCATCCAAAAACAACTTAAGCCTAAAGGCCTGTTCACACCGGGAAGAATTTCGTGCGCGTTATTCACCGACGTTTAACGCCTCGTGACTAAACAAAGGGCGCCAATATGAGTGTGCAAAGACGTGTAAAATACTGACGTGTAAAAACGCCACGCGTAAAAGCGTCATTAAAAAAAAAAAAAACGCCTCGGGTTTGTTTTTTTAGTTTGACGCGCTGCATCAAAAACTATCCGACCAATGAGATTGCCGCTATTGCTCACATGTTTGGAGCTTCTGAAGTTATAGTAAAACACCACTTGGGGGCGCTCAAACACAAAACGGTCTTGCCGAGCACACATATGCAACGGCGAAGAAGATAAACGCCAAGTAGCGTCGCCGTCTACACTGCCAGGAAGAAATAAGACGAGGAAGATGCGAGGCAAGATGAGTGTAGAGCTGCTGGTCTCGTTGGTGTCGAAACATAAAGAACTATATGACAAACGCGACAGCGACTACAAACATCTTGATAAAAGAGAACTGATATGGAGTGGTATTGCAGAGCAATTTGGCGCCATCTAATGTCAGGGAATGAATTTGCATGTTCACTCGGCTCATCATCAGCGAAAACACAACAAAACGTGTTAAAAAAACGCTGGTGTGTACGGCCCTTAACTCCATGGTAGAACAACAAATGGTCTGTACAATCAAATTATACTTACAATGATTTTGGGGAACGCAGCCCAGGTCATAGTTTCTCTTAATAAACACAGAGTTGGAACGGCCAGATAAAAACTGATATTGAAAAGTAAAGGGTCAAAAGCCCAACTAAACCAAACACTGATCACCATAATGGTGACATAAAATGAAACATTCCATTAAACATCTCCATCTAAACTTCTTTAAATCTGCATAAGACCGTGTGTAGATGTATGACACAAATAAAGTCAATCTGGTAATAAGAAGTGCAATAATGTGTAATGACTCGAAATCAGTGTCTCTTTTTTTCTGTTCTTGTTTCTTTTTCCTTCATTGATTCTTCTTATTAACATCAGGTGTCACCACTAATGGCCAATCATCACTTAAATAATCACTTAATTATCTCATTAACTTTAACACTGCTTCAATGTTAATTTTTAACACCCTGTAGTTGGACCAAGTGTTAAGGCCAATTTATACTTCTGCGTAGGGTGCGCGCAGTAGGTACGGCGTAGCATACGCACAGATGTGTAGTATACCGCGTACCCTTCGCCGTGGCCTGACGCGCACCTCCTCAAAAATGTAACTACACGTCGCAATGACGCGGACCGCAAGATCTGTGATTGGTCAGCTTGGTAGCATCGCATTTCCTCCTACGCATTTCCGCACGTACCATCTCCTCTGACGTCTTCTCTCATTTCTGCTTTTTAGTTTTAGTAATTTCACTAAAATTAACTGTTTTTCCACCTTAATAAGCTCCGCTCTCTTTCAGTCACCATTTCTTGTAGTAACCTAGTCGCGAGGAATCTAAACACAGTGGAACATTAAAACCCTCCGCCGCCAACTAGTGTTTCGGAGCAGTACTGCAGAGCAACAAAGACCTGAACGCAGAAGTATAAATGCTCACGATGGCGTCGCCTACGTCGTACACTACGGCATACCCTCGACGCAGAAGTATAAATTGGTCTTTAATTTAACACTGGGGATTTTGCTGTGTACATTGGCACTGACCCAGCAAGATCACCCACAGGTGCCTCTCCATCGCTGCCATCAATCTACCAACTGCGGCGGCGCTCTGCTTGGTGGTGCAGAGATCCAGATCTCTGATATCGCATCAGGGGAAAGACCCTTACCCGGATCCAACTACTTCAGCAGATCGGCTTGGTAAGAGTGAAGCACGACCATGGAGTGAAGCAGCAGCCTGACCTGCTGCCGCATATGGAGCTTTCAAGATCAAAAACGTCTTGTTGATTGGGATGTATCCAGTCTCCTGTATCCCAGAGACATGTGCATAATTTGCATGTCTATGTTGGTGGACGTGGGCAGAATACAATTTCTTCCTTGTGCACGTGATCTCAGTATGGAGATCGGGAAGGAATGGAAGGTTCACTGGAGTTGGAGGGTTATGTCCGGAAAGGAACCGATTGTCCAATCTGCAATCTGTGGTCTTTTCCCTAGCGCTCCCAAGACCTCCTCCATCACCCCCAACAGCTCCTCATAAGCGGGGAAGGAAATGATGTTGCTTTGATCTCACTAGATCTCGATTTGATTGATCACAATGTATACATTTTTTCCGTTTAAACAATTGTGTTGGAGTTAGATACTTCTCTTGAATTGATCTGGTCCTTTTAAACAAATTGGACAATTTCTATTCGTATTGGACAAAATACCTCCTCCACCGCTCCTCTGACTTGTGGTGTTCTTCAGGGCTCCTTTCTTGCTCCTCTTTTACACTACCACTGGGGTTGATTTTCCATTTTTTTTCTGTTTTTGTGAGGGTCAAGAGCCCAACTAAAACAAATACTGATCTCCATAATGGTGACTTAAAATTCCGATTTTCTTGTTAACATCAGATGTCTTCAATAATGCTCAATCATCACTCAATTATTCACTTAATTATCTCATTAACTTTAACACTGCTTCAGTGTTCATTTAACACTCAGCTCAGAGTTTAATTGGGTCGCTCAAAATGACTTAATTCCATTGTTGAAGTAACATGAACAAGTTATGTTTGTTAAACGTAACCCAGTTATGTGGAACCTGTTTACATAAAAAAGTTAATTAAAGTCAACATATCATTTTTTTGAGTGTGTGACGTCCCTCAGCGTCTCTCCATCGCTTATGAAGGTCACGTGATCACACTGTGATGCTGCAGTCTTACTTACTAATGAGGAAACTAACACTTTTTTAGAGACGTGATGCTTTCAGGAAGCTTAGAATTTCTCGTGATAAAAACATTCATATGAATAAATTCTGTTTATTTCATACTTCAGGTTGCTATTAAGAAATCAGTAAATTGGAGGTTTATCAAATGCACAGTTGACGTAACTGCTACTGCAGTACCTTCCAGTGTTTTACAAGCTAGGGTAGTTGGTCTGCATATGCAAATTAAGTGTTTCACGCAATTATTTTTTTCTGTTTCCTAAGAACAAGTTCCATAAGCAGCTGATTAAATATAGATATTCCCAAGTTTGAAAACATGGTCTGATATAAGGTATCTCGTCTAATGTTGTCTGATAAAACTCTTCATCTGCTCGATCTGCACTAGTTGAGGTGTCATAAGCTCATATTATAATATAAGTTGTTAATCACGTGTCATTTAGAGCGTGAAAAACGCCTATACTTGTTTCATCCTGGTCATTTGTAGTGCTGTCCCTGGTCACGGGTGTTGGTGAAACGGGTAAGAGCATTATTTTATAACTGTTCTGTTAAATCTCTTAAGTGTGGAGGAATTTATGGGAGGTTGGTTGGGGCTAGTTGTCACAGGGCTGTCTCAGTAACTGTATGGTTTAAAATCAAAAGTCCAATAGTAAAGTTCAATTGTTCTTCTTACCTGGTTGCGCTTGCTTGTGCTGGAAAATGTATTAAACATGTAGAATGCTTTCCAAACCATTACATAGTATTATAAATGCAGACGTTTGTGATGTATAAAAAAATGAAACATAAGATTATCTTATAAAATCGATTGAACACGAAGCAGTTTTTCATATATAAAAAAATAAAACATAAGATTATCTTTCAAAATTGATTGAAAACGGAGCAGTTTTTCCTGTGAGTGATAAACTCATCTATCTGTATAGATAAACTCATCTTTTAGATATTCTACTGACCGGCTTGACACTTTAGTGTGAGAAATTGGGGGTGTGGCGTGAGAGCGTGAGAGTTGGCAGCCATCATTTAACAACAGATTACTGTCTAATACAGGCTGACTATAATGAAAGCTGCTCTCCATCAAAAGGGGACGGTGATAAATAAATAAAATATTTGATTGATTTCTGTTTGACTTTAATCTAAGAATTATATCGCATTTCTTTTTTAGTTCTCTGTTCAATCTCTAAACAGATGGTGGTCAAATTTCATAAAAAAAGAAGATGAGGTCACTGATGCTATATTAAGTGACCCACACACTTGTAGATGTGCATGCACACCTATAGTCAAGATACAGGGGGGTTATGTTGAGCTAGTGTCTTCATCTGTAAGAACACTTTAGTAAAGTTTCATATAAGGAGGAGGGGTTTGATATATGTACGAGTCCTCAGTCCACTCTCTCTCTCAGATCTCCCAGTAAGTCTCTCCATGCCAATTACTGCAACAAGACACAGATGTTTATTATTGACCTGCCTCCCACATAAGCAAATGTGTTTGACACTTTCACAGCAGCCAAAAAACACAAAAGATATAACTAGAATGTACATTTCCTGAAGAAAATGTGAGTGGGTGCTTGCAGTGGCAAAACTCGCCACTCGGTTGCTAGGATAGTTGCCACAATGTTGTACATGATTAGCCTGATTGCCAGCCTGAACCCCGCCCACAAAATTTTTTGGTTGGGAAGTTCGGTCTGGACTCGATCCATTGAGGAGTAATTATGATCGGGCAAAAAATGTCTTCAGGCCAATCAAATTGCCAGGGCGGGCTTTATGCGATGATGGACAGATGATCTGCAAGGACGTAATCATCACGTTATCAAAGAGCGCTAACTGGTTTCCCTCAGAGTTGACTGCAGCTGGAGAATTGAGATGTATAGATTCCGCTGTCGAATCTGTTGTAAAATAAATCGACAGCGCATT